AGCCCAGGCCAAAAATTCAGTTCTATTTTGGTTGATATCTGAAACTGCAAGTTTTAGGCAAAATTTTATGATCATGTATGTGCTCTGTAACAAAAATACTCTGTATATTTACAATTAGTATACACTCCTAAGTTAACTTGTTTTATTTGCATACCATACAAATGGTCAGATTTTTTATCCAAAATTTCCAGGCTCATAATTCTTCGTACAATGTGTATATACAATTGTTTTTCTGACTGATACAACTTTGAAGTGATGTTTTTGAATTGTTAACCGGCAGCAGAAAATCCGCAGTTGGGAAGTATGCTACTATATACTTTCTTAGGTAGGCTGCAACGACTGCTTTGCGGTGCATAAGAGATAAGGGGTTTGTTACAACACCTTAGGCTACAACATAGTTACACGCTACATAGGGCAGACTGTAATAATGTAGGTGCACTGTTTCCAATAGTATGATTCCTAAGCTCAAGAAGCTTACAGCCTGATACACCTTCAGCTTCACAGCTTACTCCTTGCTAGACTCCAGTTGATACACATTGCTTCATTAGATTCTTTCTGTTTATCAGTTTCTGAAGGGAAAAAGGCAAGCCAAAAACCAAGAGCCAAATTAAATTATTTTTTCCACCAAATAGGAAAATGTCACTATTTTCTCTAACTGAAATGCAGTTCAGACAGGAGTAAACTTTTTAGTTCAGTTCTGGTTTGTCTGGTTCAGTCTAATTTGCACACGCTTGCCCATATTGGGTGGGCCAAAAACACTGGTGAGCAAAATTCTTAAACAATATAAAGCTAATGCTGAGATAGCATATTTCTCACTTCTTTTTTGAGATTATATTTCCCACTTTCTGATTGCAAGCGGTTACTGCTTAACACTTCAAACATGTTCATCCAATAACCTTGAAACTACTGGCCAACGCACACAAAGAAAGGAGTTTTGGAAGAAAGCTCAAGCTGAAATGGAAGTTCACTTTGGGGGTGAGGAAATGTTCTAACAAAGTAATACCTGGTTTTTTATTGCACCAATCAACATATCTTGGCATCCAAATGCATGTACATTCTTCAGATTTGGGCACTGAAGTAGCAGCCGCTCTGCGAAATATTTCAATTGTTTATAATTGTAAAAGCGGCTACCAACTTTACAGCGTCATGAAAAAGTGACACAATACCTGGGTGTAGATTTGTACAAGTGTTGAGGTTCAGATCAATCAACTCTGGGCATTTCACATACAAAGCCTGCCATATGTGAAATTAGTAACAAGACTATATCCATAAAGGACTTGAGTGAATCTCTGCTGGCAAAATCTGAAGGCTTACATCTATTGCTGAACAGCCCCATAGACTGAGCTTCTTCAAATTATCATGCTTTATGATCAGCTTTTGGCGCATAGGTTGCTTTTTTAAGGTGGGTAATTTTGGGCACAATCTAATCCTTCCATTGATCTCACCAAAATAAGCCCCCTGTTTTTCATTCTGCAAGTTAGAACGTAAGCTCATTCCACAGTCCATGAGCTGAAGAAGTGGCAATTGTGCTGTTGCAGCCTGGATCCCACCTAGAAAACACAGAGAGATTCTTAACACTGGAACATGTAATGGTTGACTGGCGAATTCATTTTCGGTGGAGCGGAAATAATAAACCATGAAATTCATATAAAGCTTACATGTAGTAATATTTGGGCAGAGAGCAAGGAGCAGCCTCGATAAAGTATGAGGGAACGCCTTGCAGATCATACCAACACCACTATCACTGATGCTAGATCTGAGGTATAATCAAAACAAGTAACTGCATAAGCTAATTTGAAGTATCACGCCATAGGAAAATAATCATCACCTTTATTTTAATTCCTTTAGTTTCATATCCCAAAGGATATATTGGAGCTTACCCACTTAAATCAAGCAATTCCAAGCTTGCACAAGATCTGACGATAGATGCAACAGCTGCATCTGTCATTTTTGAACCGAGAATCAAGGATAGCATGCACAAGCCCCTGATGAAGCAATAATGAGATTTGAGATTTAGAGGTTGAAATATTATGAAACTGGAATTATAGTGAGAAGAGAACTATAATGCTATAACTCAGATAAAACAA